GTTTAAAGCTGCACTAAGAATTTTCGAACACCCTGTATATGGAATATATGAGATCAAGAGCCGTTCTCCAATAAATAAATAGTCAAAGGATATGAGCAATTCTCAAAAGAATTACAGGAATCATATGAAAGGTTACTTCACAACACTAATAAGAAGAGAAATGCAAATCAAAGTAACCTAACCAGCAAACTGACAAAGATGACAAAAGTGAGAAATTGTCAGTGTCAGAAGGACACACCGTTGGCGGAACTGTGAACAAATCCAACCATTCTAGAAAACATTCTGAAACAAAATTAAGTGAGTAAAATGTTTACACTCTGTGACCCAAGGATCCCACTGCTTGGCATATTTCCCAGGGAGGTCATCTATATCCTCTAACACTCATAGATGCCTCCTCTCCTTTTTTTTTTTTTTGCTGGCAAAGAGCTAAACATAAAGTAGATGCCCATTATTTCAGGAATGGCTTAACAAGTTATGCTACATGAATGTAATGGAATATTATTTTAATAAATAATGACTGAAGAATTCAGAAAAAATTGAAGATTAACATGAACAAATTCATAAGAAAGCAGAGCCAAAAAGAAATAAATGATAATGTAAAAGTAAAACCAAAACAAATAAGTATCAAACTTGGCCCTAGAGAATCAGTCAATAAGCCATTATTAAATAACTACCGTAGCACTGTGCAAGAGATACTAAAAGAAAATTAAATCATCCCTGACCTTGAGGAACTTACATTCGTGAGAACAGTATAGGGAGAGAGACATTTACTTTTACAGATACAAAATAAATACAAGATAATGGAGGTGGGGGTGGGGACAGACAATAATCGAGAAAACACACTACCCTCCTTTCTTGGCAGAGGTAGGGGACTCTTGGTGTGGAATACTGCACATACTGTATGTCAGTCAATAGACATTTATTAAATGGCTACTATGTGCCTGGCACTGTGCTAAGCACTGGGGATAAAAAGAAAGACAAAAGACAGCTCCTGCACTCAGTAGTTCACAATCTAACGGGGGAAATAACATGCAAACAAATATGTACAAACAAGCTATATACAAGCAAAATGAGAGATAACAGAGAAAATTCACTAGAATTAAGAGGGATTGTTGGTTTTGCAGAACTGCCTTTTTTCTCTTTCTTTTTAAATAATTATTATGAACAATTATTTAACGAGTCCAAGGGAAATATAGATTTAGAAGTGAATATGAAATCAAAAGACATCAATAAAAAAAAGATAAAATATATTTAAGGAATAAAGTGTGCTTATGGTTGTATGCCTCTGGAGGGCAATAAGAAACTTTTTATTACTAGGGCTCCAGACAAAAGGCTTAATTATAATAACTGATTTTAGGAAATAAAGTGTATGTTTTGCTCTTTTCAACCTAAGTTCCATTAGTAGCAGAAAATTACTTTTCAAAAATCTCTCAATTTTGTTTTTTGAAAAAAGCCACAAGGCAATGTCAGTATTTTCTTCCAAAATAAAGGTTAAAGGTTAAATTCCTAATACTAAGAAATTATGATTTATATGGGATTTTGTCCTCACAACTCCATGAGGGGGAGCAGCAGAAATATTATTATCTGGATTTTAAATATAAGGAACCTAAGGCTTAAAGTGATTAAGTGACTTTTCTGTGGGCACCCAGATAGTAAGGAAGATACCTTAGAGATCAGCTACTACAAACAGGGGGCCTCTTCCCTCATTCAAACACAGATCATCTTTGCCAAGTTCAGTTCTCTATTCATTATACTATGCTGCATCTCTAAGCAGGATCAGGTATGAAGACTAGAGGTTCTGTTCCCCTTTCTCACATAGAATTTTCAAAGACAAAACCAAAAAAAAAAAAAAGACCAGTTCTGTAAAAGAGTCCTGGGTTCAAGTTTCACCTCTCTTCCTGGGTGACCCTGGGTAGGTCACTTAACTTCTGCCTCACTGCGGTTTCTTCATCTGCAGGATTTGGGGGGAGGGGTGTGGACCAGATGATCTTTATAGTGCTATGTCTCTGATCCTTATAAGAAGAATGATACACTGTATCATTGCCTGAACAATAAGCTATGTTCTTTCAGAATGGTTTTATTTTCTGCTAAAGAATGATACCTGGGTTGAAGGTGGAGAGAAGTCCATGATAAAAGTCAAACCAGGCTTTTTCTGAAGTCAGATCATGTGATCAAAGCTTTAGAACTATAAACGGCCTTAAAGGTCAAAGAATTCAACCCTCTCTTATTTTATTTCAGACAAGAGAGGATAAAAAACTATCTCCAAGGTCACACAGACATTAAGGGGGTCATGGACTGACCAATCCAAGTCCCTGGCTCCTAATTCAGCAATCTTTCACCAAGTCACACCTCCTTTCATTGGCTTTTGGAAGGTAAAGCCTCTTTGCTCTCTCCACATCAGACACTGCTCAGGCACTCAGAATGCCTAGGCAGAAGCAGCAATAAAGAGGCTTCTAAGAATGCTCCCTTCTCTCCCAGCACTTATAAAAAGCCCTAACAGGGATCCTGAATAACTTCAATCACTTAAGCCCTGACTCTAAGTAAAGTGAGCCCCATGTATTAAGGTGAAGATTCAATTAAAGCTGTACTCACTAAAATCTTAACAGCTAACACAAACTTGTCTACAGATCAGACTTGGCTCTGTTGTTGAAATCACTTGAGGGAGGCTGGCTTTGAAAGGAACAGCCAATCACACTAGCAGCTAAAATACTGATAGTGACACTGAATCCCTGAAAGCTATGCCAGCAGATTCAGCAGGACCCAGAAAAGGACACGGTTCCTTATCTGAGCACCAGCCCCACTAAGTTTGAAAAGGCACAGCAGAAGCAGGGTGGGCTACTAGGTGCTGAATATTTCAGTAGGCCACAGCCACTCATATAGACTGAGATGAAGAGAGGTTTTAAATTAAATCAATGACAGGTATACTTGTATCACCAATCCTTTAAGTACTGAAGTACTCGTAATTATCTTTAATACCAGAGTTTAAATCCTTTAAGTAATGAAGTACTAAAACTTGTCTTTAATAAAGACAGTTTGAATATAATCCAAAAAAGCCAAGGGCATTTTAGAGCAATAAATACTCTCAGAAATGTTTTTTAAAGAGATTCATTATTATAATTTGCATCTTGTCTACAATAATAGCTGATATTTATGTAGCACTTTAAAATTGACAAAAAGCATTACACAGATTAATTAATTTGACCCTTACAAGCTTATAAGGAAGGCATTACCCACCCTACTTTGCAGATGAGGATAAATGATTGTCCACAGACACCAGCTACTAACTGACAGAGGCAGGATTCACACCTAGGTCTCTCTGGACTCCAGGTTATCACTTTCTACACCACCAAGCCACCTCTCCAGATAATATGTTTACTGTAAATCTGATATGTGATAACTCACAGTGAATTTTGCCTCGGACAATTACCAGCTATAGGAACGTGAGCAAGTCACTTAACTTCTGGGTGGGTTTCCTTATCTGTAAAATGGTTGTAACAATAGCACCCACCTTGCTGGGTGGTAAAGATCAAGCTCGTAAATCTCTTTGAAAACCTTAAATTACAAAGTCACTGATTCTTATGACCACAGGTAGTATGCAGTTAAAGTATCTCCAGACTAGATGACAAAAGATAGAAATAATCAGTGTTGAAAGGAAGGGCTCCTTGGGGAAGCCGTGATCTGATCCAACCATTCTGAAAAGCAATTTGAAATCGCGCTAAAAAATACAATTAAAGTGACTAAAATGTCCATTCCCTTTGACCCAGTTACATCACTGTCGGGCCAAGCTCGTCCTGGAACCGTGGAACGTGCCTAGTGATTCTCGCTGAAGCTTCCATTCTTCTGTTAGTTCCACAAACACCAAGCCCCCTTCCCACCACAAAGAACTTCAAACGTCAAGGGGGAGAGGACAGCTCAGCCCTCTCCTAAAAACACCCCCCTTCCCTTGCAGGATTTCACAGCTAGCACTTGTGGCACATTCAGGACATAGCTGTGCAGGGCCGTCCCCAGACAGCTGTCACAGGCCGATCCCGCTGGTCCACAAGTGCCAACGTGCCTCTCCCAAACCCGGGGCGAGAGCCCTTTCTATGACTGTGCAACGAGGGAAAGAAAGAGCCCACCTGTCAAAACCTGCATATCAGCTGCATGCGTGCGTGTGCGTGCGTGTGTGTGTGTGTGTGTGTGTTGGGGGGGGACGGAGGGGAGAAAGAGAAGACAAAAGACACACCAACCTGGGGAGGGAGGGAGAGGGAGGAGACAAAGGACACACCGCCTAACCGCCCTCCCCAAGCTGGGAAATCGGGAGAAGTCCACAAAGGTTAGCGATGGGGATGAGACAAAGCCAGGTTGAGGAAGGCTCGCGGGCCGGGGTCTGCAAGCTGGAGCAAGTCTGGGCGGGGCCGGCCGCCGTGCGCAGGCACCCGGAGCTTGCGATTCTGCCCCAGGCCAGAATAAAGGGGCGGGGCGGGGACCCCCCGCCGCGAGGCAGCGTCTCGGCGCCTCTCCCCACCACCCCACGCCAGGAGCAGGGCCCCGGCCGAGCCTCGGGCTTCCACCTCCCCGCCCTCCCCAGGCCGGGCCGCGCCGGGCTTACCTTGGCTCTGCCGGCCTCCAGCTTCTTCTGTCGCTCCTCGTCCTCCATGGCCTGCGCTGGGGAGGAAGGGAGGGAGGGAGGGAGGGAGAGAGGAAAGGGAAGGGCCTGATTGAGACGGACGTCACGGCGGCGGCCCGGGACTGGGCGCCGCGCTCCGCCACCGGCCCCGCGCCAACTGCCGTAGCCGGCTCACAGGAGGACCGTCTCCGGCGCAGCCGCCATCTTCGTCTCCACGTAAACAGAGAGGCCGCGGGCGGAGCGGGGGGGAGGGAGGGAAACGTCGGCGGCGCAGCCGCCGCTGACCCGGGATCCTGCAGGTGCGCCGGGAGCCCCGCCCCCTGAGCCCCCCGCCGCGCCCCAGACCCCGCCCCAGGCCCCCCGCCGCCCGTGGGCCTCGGAGGGTGGAGACCTGCCGACCTGCGAGTTAAGTCCGGTCCTCCACGTGGTGTCCAGTCCTGGGCTGAGCGTGGGGGGGCAACAAAATGGCCAGGTCAGCCCCGGGGCTCCAGTGGGAGAGGCACCAGGCAAGCAATTATGGGCCAGCGAGAGATAGGATAAATGGGGGATAGTCAACAGCATGGCACCGGATCCCCTTCTTATTTCTCGGACGGGGAAACTGAGGCCAGAGAATGCATTGACTTGCAGAAGTTCCGCAGGGAAAGCGGAGCAGAGTGAGGTAGGATTCGAACCCAGGAATGGTGTCCAATACTTTAAAGGGCACTCGCACACTGGTTTGAGAGCAGGGTCCTGTTCTGGCCCAGATGCATACGTGCTGTGTGGCTTTATTCAGACGTGGGACCAAGAGTGGACTCGTGGAAACAGCCCTGGTTGGACTTGGAGATCTTTGAGAGCCAGTGTGGAGGACTGGACACAGTGCAGGACCTAGGGAAGGGAGCTCCTGGGTTCAAATCCAACCTCAGGCAAAGTGGGCAAACCCCTGGCTTCCTGGCGCCTCAGGTTCCAGATCGGCCTTTCCAGGCTTCTAAGGTACCTTGTGGCTCTTAAGCTACGATCCTGTAAATCCCTTTAACTTTCAGGACCTCAGTTTCCTCACTTGTAAAATGAAGGGGATTGGACTTTTTTGTGTCATACGCCTTTGACTGGCTGGTGAAGCCTATGACCCTCTTCTCAGAATGCTATTTTTAAATGCATGAAATAAAACACATAGGATTACAAAGGAATCTAATTGAAATACTTATTGTATTGAATTATTACATACTGAAATAGAAAAAAAAATCAACTTTATGGACTCCAGATTAAGAACCCCTGTAAGAAATGATCCCTAAGTTCTGCTTCAGCTTTCAAAATAGCTTATCTTGTATAGTGATAATAACAGTTGTTTTTCTTTTCCTTTTTTTAGGCAACTGGGGTTAAGTGACTTGCCCAGGGTCACACAGTTAGTAAGTGTCAAGTGTTTGGTCTGAGGTCGGATTTGAACTCAGGTCCTTCTGACTTCAGAGCCAGTGCTGTATCCACTGGGCCACTTAGCTGCCCCAGATAACAGTTGTTTTTCAACTTTTTTTTTCCAAGTTGTTTTTCAAACAAATAATAATAATCACCCCTCCCAGAGTTGTTGTGGGGATCGAATGAGATAATAACTGTACAGCGCTTGGTGCAGTGACCCGCACATAATAAGCACTATATAAGTGTTAGCTATTATTATTACTTCTGTCTGCCTTGGTTTCTTCATCTAAAGTGGGGATGATAATAGCACCTCCCTCCTCGGGTTGTTCTGAGATAATTGTTGTAGAGCACATAGGACAGTGCCTGGCACATAGCAGGGGCTATATAAATGTTAGCTGCTATTCTTATTATTACAATGAGCAGGCAATGCAACACTAGATCATTGATTAAGAGCTAGATTTTTGAGGCCATCCAATCCAGCCTCTTCATTTTCTAGATAAGGAAACTGAAGCTCAGAGTAGTTAGCTGACCCATCCAGGGTCACACAGGTAGTGTGTGGCAGAGCTAAGATTGAAATCTCCATTCTCTGTCTCTAAATCTTTCCATTGCACTACGTGTCCTTGGTAACTAATGCAAAGTAGGAGGGAAAGGGGGCAAAGGAAACCTCAAACATAGTGGTAGGGGATGATTAGAGATTTGGAGCTAATTTGAAGCAGGAGGACCCAGTAACACCTGGGGGTGGGAAGAATGGTGGAAATTTCAGGTATAGGGTGGCAGCTTAGGTGAGACTGGAAGGAAAAGAATATATTCCAAAAGACTGAGATGAGTCTGATTCATCTGGAAAGCTTCTCCCAGCACAGTCTGGCTCCTCTGACTGGGATGCCTTTCCTTCTCAACTCCATGCTACCTGCTCCTTAAGCTACCCCTCATTCTCCCCAGCTATCACCTCACATTATCCTGTACCACTTTATGTGGCTATTCTCTTGCCCCATTCCTTTATTCCTTACTTTGTGCCATACTTACCTGTGTACTTGTTAAATTTGCCCCAGTAGAATACGAATTCCTGAAATATAGGAACATCTTGCTTTTATCTTTTTATTCCTAGGATTCTGAACAGTGCTTTGCACGTAGGTGCCTAGTAAATGTTATCATTCTCTGATTCTAAATCTCCCTGGTCTTTCACCTGGGGAACAAAGGAACCCCTGCCCAGCTCTTTGCTATTCCCTCGCTCCCTTCCTTGGAGAGGAGAGTATCTCTGGACATTCTAGTAGTGAAGGGGGTAACCTAAGAGTCATGGGATTTCATCTGTAAAGGACCTTAGAAATCCTTCATTTTACCCATGAAAAAACTGGGTGAATGAAAGGGACATGGTCCCCTCTGGGCACACCCCTATGCCCCACCTTAATGCTGAGACTCAGCTTCATAACTGGTTTAAGCCCTAAGTTCTTCTCGGTGAGACAGAAACCAACCAAGCCAGTTTCTGATAAAACTGTAAGCTTTTTAAAGACTGAGACAGAAGTCTTACTCATCTTTGTGTTTCCCCCCTAGGATTCTTATGACATTGCCATGCAAATAGAAAATAGTCAATAAAGGCTGGTCGAACTGAATTATTAGCTGGATGCTGCCCTTACCTTATCCCTCTTCTACTATAATTCTCTCCATCTTCCAACACACACACACACTCTCTCTATTCCCAGGCTGAAAAATACTTTCAGCCTCTGAGAAGTGTCATGAAAAAAATAAGGGTTCCAAATGTTACCTTGAGGGACCCTGCCTAGTGCTGAAGGTATGGCAGGTGTAGGCTAAGACATCCTAGGAGGGGGAATGAAAGATCAGCAGTCTGGAAAGGGAGGGGCACAAGAAATCAAGATGAAAACAAACGAAAGGATGAGCAAGAGCCCTGATTTTGATATATGCATTTCAGAACCGAGCATGTGAGTATGCCAGCAGCTATACGCTCCGACCTCAACCTCTTAAGTTGAACAGGGGTGAGGTGGTTATTTTTTTTTAATTCTTTTTTATTAAGGGAGTAAGCCAGCCAAATCTCTTCCCACTGGAAAAACAAGCCTAACCCGGGAGAGGTTTTTTGATCTTCAGTTTTAAATGATTTAATTCTTTTGTTTTTCCATAGTTGAAACCTACCAGTTCAGGGACGTGTGACATGCAAAGCGTGGAATGGTAGACCTTTATAATTGAAAGGGACCTTAAAGATCATCTAAGCCAACCTTCTCCTTTTACAGATGAGGAAACTGACCCAGAAAGATTGTAGTCACATTGCTAGTTGGGGCAGAGCCGAGCCTAGAATCCAGACTTCCTGACTTCCAGTTCTGTGTTCTTTCCATCTCACTCTGCTGCCGTCACTCTGGAAATGTTTTTTACAATGAAAATTACTTGTGTGTTAGGTTCCAACTGTATGATATTACTTTTTTGGTAATTCTCTGTTTAAATTGTAAAAATCTTTTTTTTTAAATTAACTGAATGATTTAATAGATCTATGCTTCCTTCAGTGTCAGCTTGATCTAACATTAATGAAGATGGGGAGCTCTGGATCTTATTCTCAGCAGAATTAGTTTTTTGTTTGAAGTTATGCGGTATAGTGGACAGAGAGCTGGGCCTGGAGTCAGAAAGACTTAAGTTCAAGTACTGCTCCAGCCTCGTGCTAGCTGTGTGAACCTGGGCAAGTCCCTTATTCACTTCCAATCTCAGATTTTGTTGTTGTTATTGTTCAATCGTTTTCAGTCATGTCCGACTCTTCGTGACCCCATTTGGGGTTTTTTTTGGCAAAGATGCAGGAATGGTTTGCCATTTCCTTCTCCAGCTCATTTTACAGTTGGGGAAACTGAGGCAAACGGGATAATAATAGTGCTTACCTTGCAAGGGAGTTCTTATGAGGATCAAATGAGACAGTACATATAAAGTGTTTTGCACCCGTCCAGTGCTATATAAATATTAGCTATTATTGTTTGGACAATAAAATTTCTAAAGGGATTTTACAAAGGAACCTAATTGGTGTACATTGTCTTTTTTTAGTTGGATAATGCCAACTTATTGTTCATATAGTCCAAACTATGCCTATGCCCCAAACCATGTCATCTGATTTATAGAATTGGCAACACGTGGTCCAAGAAATTCCCTGTAAACATACTGTGACCTGAGAGCAGAGACTGTTTTTTGCCTTTCTTTAAACCTACACGTAGCCCAGTGCCTGGCACAGAGTACACAGTTGATAATTATTGACAGCCCAAGTCAGGGGTGGGGAACCTGCGGCCTCCAGGCCACATGTGGCCCTCTAGGTCCTCAAGTGCAGCCCTCTGACTCAATCCAAACTTCACAGAACAAATCCCCTTAACAGAAGGATTTGTTCTGTAAAACTTGAGTCAAAAGGTCGCACCCGAGGACCTAGAAGGCCCCACGTGGCCTCGAGGCTGCAGGTTCCCCACCCCTGCACCAAGTGGTCATCTAACTTAATGACCCCCAATGAGAGGTGTTGGTGGAGGAGGGAGGGAGAAAGGAAGCAGGTCCCACTCCGTCCTGTGGTGGCCTATTCTGCTTTTGGATAATCCAAATTATTTAATTATTAATATTCTTTATTAAGAGTTAATATTTTATTTAAAATAATGCGATGTTGGAGTAAGAAGGACCTGAGTTCAAATTTGGCCTCAGACACTTATTATCTGTGTGACCTTGGGCAAGTCATTTAACCCTGATTGCCTCTAAAAAAGTGATATAATAATGCAATATTATCCCTTTGCAACTTCTACCCATTGCTTTAGGTTTTGTCTCTTGGGGCCAAAGAGAACCTTGCATCATTTCTGTTCTCTGGATCCTCCTCAAGTTCTCTGTATCTCGTTTAAGTTTGCAGGCCACCTGATTTGACAGCTTTCTACTAAAGGCCAAACAACTGTTCAACAAGATTATCTTGGGGTTCGTACCTTCTAAATTCCGGTTTATATATCCTAGTTGGTTTTTTTTAAGGCACAACCCTCTTTTATTGTCTTTTTATTGTTTTATTATCTTGTGATTTCTTTAAACACCCAGATTGTTTGCATGGAAAACTTCTTCCTTCACAAGTCCACATCATACATT